ATTAAAGGGTTTTATTAGTAAAAGTGATATTAAAATACCTAAGTTAGCTAAATAATATATAGAATACCCGAACCTAAATTATTAATTATTAATATATCAATATTATTTATCCAAACCTAATTACGAAGCATGATTTTTCGCCAAATAGGATTCCAAAGCACCAGAAGCAGCCACGTAGGCTCAGCGCATTCGGGAATTATATATAGGGAGGATATATATATATGTGTGTGTGTGTGTGTGTGTGTGTGTGTATTGATTATCTAGTCTATTATTTTAGTTTTTAGGTCTAAAAAAAATAGAACTTATATAATAGTTTCTATTGTGTAATTATTTATTCTTCATTTTTTTTATAATCGATTTTTGTGATTAATTTCATTTATTTATCAGTTATATATTGAAAATAATTAATAGGATACAAAATATGTTTAGCTAATCTTCGATATCCTTTCTTAATTAGTTAATCCCTATATTCCCCTTTCTTCTTAAACTAGTACAACACCCGTATATTACACGGGTGCTTGTTAAAAAATTATATTTAAATTTTAAAATTTTGAGAAAACTATATTAAATTTAGTTTACTTTTTTACTAAAAAAATATATTATTATATATTTTAGAATGATATGTGTTACGTATGACTTACATGTGTTATATTATACTAGTACAACACCCGTATATTACACGGGTGCTTGCTAATTTTTTTTTTTAAAATTTAAAATTAATGAGAAAAAATAGTTTGAAAATTTAAATACCTTTTATAAGAATATATATATTATTATATATTTATTATGACACTTTTTATTTGTGCAACTTACTTGTGTTATATTATACTAATTTTTTTAACTTACAATATATAACTACATTACATATAAATATATCAATTGAGAAATAATTTTATTTTTCGAATGAATTTTAATAAATATTATTATTTATTATTATTATAAAGATAAATATAATTTATTTATTTCATATATACAATATGGATGTCAAATCGAAGATCATCCAAAGATGATTAATTTGATATATTATATATGTAAAACCGATAAGAAATACAAAAGTTATCAACTTTTAAAATACATTTATAATTCAATAGCTTATTGAAGGAAACAAATCAAAATTGAAGGATATATTAGTCATTTAGTGTCTCACTATGTAAAATTACTAAGAATTAAAGGGTTATATTAGTAAAAGTGATATTAAAATACCTAAGTTAGCTAAATAATATTTATGGAATACCCAAACCTAGATTATTAATTATTAATATATCAATATTATTTATCCAAACCTAATTACGAAGCATGATTCTTCGCCAAATAGGATTCCGAAGCACCAGAAGCAGCCACGTAGGCTCAGCGCATTCTGGAATTATATATAGGGAGGATTAGTTTTTTATAACTTATATCATATAACTACTTGAAATATAAATATATTACTTGATAAATAATTTTATTTTTCTAATTAATATTAAAAATAATTTTATTATTGTTATAAAGATAAATATAAATTATTTTTTATACATATTGTATGGATGTTAAATCGAAACTCATCAAAAGAAGATTAATTTGATCTATTACATATGTAAAACTGATAAAAAATTCAAAAGTTATTAACTTTTACAATATATATACAATTCAATAGTTATAATAATGAATGATATTAAAATGCAATTAATACATTTAACATGACCATAAATAATCAACATATTTATGGTAATCTGAACCTAATTATTTTTGGTTTGGAATTAAATTAAAATTTACCCAAACCTAATAACGAAGCATTTAATTTTCCCACATAGAATTTCAAAGCACCAGAAGTAGCCACGTAGGCTCACCGCGTTAATATATAGGGAGATTATGTTTTCATCTATCCACAGTCTCCATTAAAAAGCCCACCCAAAGAGAAATTTGTCCAAAGCCCAAACCAAAACACAACACAGCCGAATCATTGTTTTCTTTCACTTTCTTTTCACCTAACAATACAATAACCTATCTTTGAACCACCAGGAAAAAAAAAATATTGAAAAAAAAAAGGAAACAATGGCATTCTTTGCTTCATTCTACCTTTCTTCTCTCTCTCCAAGAACATTGTCACTCAATAAGGTGGAAGAAAGAGTTCATTTGCACGGTGGTCGGTGGACAAACAAATAAGCCATCAAAGGTCATCAGAGGCTCACTTGATTAGGAAAAAGAAGCTTTTTTTAATAACAATTTAGGGCCTGTCGTTGCTGGTTTCTTCCTGTAATGCACGGCTTTCGATTTGATCTATTTCCAGATTGGCTACACTGTCCACTGGTGAATTAGTTGGTGACTCGGATGCTTTCTGAAGTTGACTTTTTACACGACCCGTCTCCCACAGCTTCCCAGCTTTCCCGATGGCGAGAATGAGCTCGAGCTGTTTTTCTTGTTGCTCCTATTACACGACACATGCCAAAAGGGGAATGGTAAGCCGGTTTATTAACAACCAAATATAAAATCCAACTATCCATATAAAAAGGGTTCGAGGCAAAAAATTGCAGTTTCAAAAGTGACGAGGGGCAGTGTTCAAAAAGGTTATTGTATAAGGCAATACTTCTCAAGATAGTAAAACAACTAGACGAAGGGCATCTTAAATCTAAAAACATCTTAATTCTTCTTATCCTTCGATGGAAGATCAAAACATCTCTAGCTAGCGCTTTATCTGGTGCACTAAAATTCTGTGCAAATATAAATAGCAAGCCAAATTTATACGTGTTATCAATAAATAATTTTACACAAGATGAAATTACCGGTAACAGGACAAACACTTTGCATCTATAAGAAGATAAATGTTGTGTAGCATGTTTAACTACAAATAATATCTTTACTGACGAACAATTAACACTATAGCTCAATGGAAATATAAAGGCGACCAAAGAGGGCAGACACACGTCTTCTGAGCCTATGCTAGCATGAAACAGAAGTCCACAAAGACCTTTTGCTCTCAGAAAATAAATATTGCTAACCTGATTTCTGCTGCTTTCACATATACTTTGGAGGAACGAAATATTTGGTAATCCCAAATTAATAATTCTATTAACATTTTTCTGAACCTCTCAAAACAACACATCTTTCTTTCATAAATGAAAGCTTCCACCACTGTGCGCCCTCATTTATTACTTACTATTTCAGCAGACATCTAAAAATCCCCATACCTAGTCAAGTAGATACCAAAGTATTGTTTGAAAGACAAACCCTGCATAGGAGAGGCTCAATTAAAAACAGTTTCCATGGATAAGTAGATTATGGTCTTTATTATGAGATTCGGTCGAAAAACAGTTAGAGAAAAGAAGGGAGATTCCAGCATAGTGCGGCACCTATTTCTTCAGCAGATGATAACAATGTAATGCTCTAGCTAGCTTTTAAGGCCTGGAATAGCAATCATACTATCTCAGGGTTTAAGTTCAATGGCCAATAATATATCTACCTGCATAGCCAGAAGAACCTTTTGAATTTCACCAAGCTCCTTCTCAAGAATGTCTTCTTGTGCTGCTAACACACGAGTGGCCTCGGAGTTCTTCTGGACCAATGCTGCAGTCTGAAAACATACAACAAAATTTATTATTAATTTATTATTATTATTATTTTTTTTTTAAGTTTGCCCCAGCACATATTAGAGATAAGCGTATGATGCATTTAAAGGTAAAACTTTGGATCTTCGTTTAAACAACAATTGCGAAGGGGCCAAGAAAATGTGTAAATCATACATATTTCACTACTCCTTTCTATTATTCGAAATTACTCATGCAGCATTCAACTTCACATGAATTTAACTTTTAAGCCATCCAAATTCTCAGTAAGATTATATTTGGTGAAATCCAATTTTGCAACTGGTTTTTCCAACAAAAGTTCAAATACAATATGCTTCAATCCCAATTTAACTTCTCTTTGGTATATATATATATATATATATATATATATCCACACAACCAAGGATCAAGATTTTCAACAACCCACAAGTCCCAAAGAGTTAAGCTTCCAAAATGTGAACACAAACCAAATAAATTTTACCTCAGCAATGGGTTCCTTGAGCGCCTTTCGGGTGACCCTGAACCGAATCCCCAGCTTCTCAAGCCTCCTCGCTAGAGCCTGAACGATGGTGGCCGAGCCCCGCAAGTCCTCCTCCAACCTCTCGACCCTCTCCAACAGATTAGAATCCCCATACGTAGACGAGCCCCTCGAGGACCCCACACCACTGCAGACCCTTCTCCACTGCCGCCGCCGTATCGCCGCCCCGGCCGCCAAGCCGCTCACCAGCACCACACACTGCCACATCGCAACCCTGCCACCCAGAAACCCTATGTCTCCCGCGCCCTTCTGCACCCCCCATCTCACGGCGAAGTAGACGGAGACCGCGGCCGAGGAGGCGAGGCTGAGGAACTCGAGGGTAGACAGGAAGGCATCGAGATTTCCGCCGCCGTCTCCGGCGACCTGCGGCGAAGATTCTCCATAAAGGGCATGGATTCTCGCGGCGGGGAGGCGGGGAGGTTGGGTCGGGAAGAATCTTCTACAGCTTCGCGATTGAAAGTTTGAGTCCGGAAAAGGGAGAGGGAATCTATTGGGGGATCTCGAGAAATGGGTCGGGATTCTCGGGAACAGAGCCGGGTTCTTGTTTGGGAAGATGGTGTCTAGTGCGAGCGCCATTGTTGTATAGCTTGAAGCTGACATTGCTGAATAAATGGGCTCTCAATCAGTAGTGAAATTCATCTGCAAGATCGCGTTGAGTTTCATGGTTGCGTAACACACTAATCAACCATCGATTTTCTGTGTTTTTCTGTTATGGTGGGTAGAAGTTTTCGGGTCGGATCTTGCCCGGGTCCGAATCCGGCCTCTATTTCCTTAGAGAGTATATATAATTACCCTCTCTTATTATTTAGATGTAATTGACTTGGGATCGGCTAAGGTCAGGTACCCCTCGTACCTACCTAATATCAGGTACCATGTTATATCACTATTGGATTGGCTTAAAAATCAATATAAACTATTAGATTGAAGGTACGAGATTGGTACGAGGCTGCCGAAAATCTTTTTGCTTTGTACCAACCTCGTACCAACATCGTACTCCCATCTAATTGCAAAAATCCTATAATACCCTTATGTCATAAAAAATAAAATAAATTATAAAATTATAATTGTATTTATTTTGAAGACCTTACATTTATATTATTTGTATAACAATCCTTCATAAACAAAAGTATAGGATCAAAACCTTAACATTTATTAAAAGAAATTCCAAAGACTTTGTTCTTCGGCATTTTTTTTTTCTCGTCTCCGCGTTCATCGTTGAATCGAACAGCATTACCGATCTACATATATATTTGTTCAAACTATCTGAGAATACCGATATATGATTGCGAATCCTAGAATACCGACTCATTTGTTTGCAGAGATATTTCGAATCCAGGTATATTTCGAATCCTGGTTTATTTTGTATTCCGGGTGTGCACAGCTATCGAATTTCAATTAATGTATGTGAAATGTATTGTGTGATTTTGTTGCTCAATTCCAGATTGTTGACATTTAACTCGCTTTTTGATTATAAAAGTAGGCTAAATGGTTTAGGGTTCACATCCTTCTATTCGTGTCATCGATTCTTCTGAATAATGACCTGATGTGATGTGGTGAATTTGTTAGATGATGATATATTTACTTTTGATGAATCCTTAATAACAACATTACATGTTTGTTCAAATGCCTCAATAATGTTGTTGAATGTGATATTTAGATGTTAGTGACCAGTAACATGTATCTGTAATTTATACATTTTGTTATATAAAACTTGTGTACTATCACTTTAATGAGGCAATGCTGGTGAAGCAACTCTGGAGACCACTCACTCAACCTCACCTCCTTATGGGTTGCAGATTGTTATTAGAAATGCTGAAACGGTTAGACTCCAAGACTTCAACTGGGTCCCATGTATTAGAAAAAGGGAGCTCTGGTTAAAGGGCCTTATTGATGAGGACAGTGGACAGGCCAGTGTACAATGGGGAAGAAGGAAAAATTGTCAGTAGCCTCCTCATACACCTTTCTACATCAAAGAAAGCTCCTCTCCTTAAACCTTCGAGAGGGCAACAACCACTCCAAGAGGTATGAAGGGGTAAGACAAAGAACCTGGAATCTTAACATAAATTGAAAACAAAAGCATTTCTTATGGAAGTGTATCACAGGTTTTTTGCCAGTTTGTGCATGTCATGTGATGTTGATGTGGTGAGGCTGAAGAAACTGCAGAACATGCTTTGCTGGAAGGTATGAGAGCAAAACATGTTTGGAAGCAGGCACATGTTACATGGTATGACATTAATATGGATGGCTGCAGATTTGAAGATTGGTGGGGTTGGGCATCAAAGGAGCAAGTAGCAACTCTGAGATCAGGAAGCTTAGCTAGGTGTGGTTAGACATATAAGTGGACATGTTTTTATTTTGTGTTATTTCTATTGTCTTATTGATCAATGGAGGGCTCAGTTCACTGCCATTGGTGTTTGTTAGCTTCTTTCTGTATTTAGCCTACTATTACTAGTAGTTATCTCAGGCTTACTGTTTGTACTTGAACATCTTATTTGGTTATCTCAGCCTACTATGGCTACATTTTGTCATCTCTAAATGAACGAAGTTGAGGTAGTAGTGTTTTTGCACAGACTAGTGCAATATAACATAATTTTACAACATTTTGTAAGCAATTGCAAAATTACTGACAGTAAGAACCGTATATTGGCACCACTAGAGGAATTAAAGCAGATGACCAACCAACGGTCTGAAATTTGAACAAAAATAAGAACTCACGTACACTACAACAAAGGCAAACAACACGTAAGCCAAACATAAACAAATTACAAAAGAAAAACCAAAAATCAACAAGACACCAGCAAACATAATCCATGTCATTAAACAAACAAAACACATGTTCAGCAATAACAACATCCTGTACTTTCATACTTAAATTGTTCAACCATATGTACCATCTTCAACAAAACACAAAAAGAAATGTATGTTCATCCATCCACACCAGAGGAAGGAATAGCAGCACATCAAATTTTGAAAACATTAGTAATATTAATAATTAACATATCGGATAAATACGGGCAATACAGAATGCGATTGACATCCAAAATATTTACCTCAATTTTTCGGTTTCTATCAGAACTGATTGTCAGTATTTTACAAAATAACATGGGTACATTTGAATTCAGAATACGAACAATAAGCAAACCAAATGACATTTACCTGGACATTATTTGAAGATCGACTCATCTAATTCATCATAAATTCTGTTTTCACGATTCCGATGAATGATTGAATACAGAAGCATTCAAAATATACTTTTCACAACGACGAGGAAGAAAGATGAAGATGATTGATTGAGTTCAAGATAGAATGCAATTTAATTTCAATTCGTGGCCTAATTGGAATATGTACATGTCATTAGGGTAGAATAATAATATCATAATAGTTAAACACCCTAGTTTATAATTTTATTTAAGTAAGGGTACTTTAGTAATTACTTAAGCTTATTTTTTAATTATTTTCTTATTTAATTTAATTTTGGGACACGTGGCATGATTTGAAAGGGGAACCTAATGTCAGGTAGGTACGAGGCTGGTACGAGTCGAATTTGATATTAGAATTGCCCAATTGACTTTTATGTTTCCAATTATAATACTAAGTTTACATTTTAGTAATAATTTAATTTTTTCAAATGATTTCAAATTGCATTAATTTTTTTTAGTTATGACTAATGACTAATTTAGGAATAATTTATACATTATTTTATTTTGAACGTCGTATTTTTGCTAAAATTTTCAAAGTATACTAAATGTACAAAATAGCCATGAAATTTACCTGAAAAATTGGGTTTTTAATAGTTGTGTCTATTTGTGCTTGCGAGCATAGGCAAAACTGTAAGCGAACCAAACCGATTTCGAGCTGATCTCGAGCTTTAAGCATTTATCGAATCAAGCCAAGCATGGTTTACTAACGAATCAAACCTTAGAATAAGCGTGAAATCAAATTGTTTATAAAATAACGAGTCGAAATCGACTCAATAGCTAAACAAGCTCGAAATTGGCTCATTTATGACGAGTCGAGTCAAACCCAAGTCTTAAAAAACCAAGTCGGGCCTAGCTTACGAGCAGCTCGATTAATTAACATCTCTAAGCACAGGTGATCAGGACTTCAAAGTTGAGAACACTACATAATTAACTGACATTTATTCATATAATTAGCAAAAACGAAATTACTTCTAAACTAAATAAAATAAAAAAGGGGAAGGTTAATAATAATATGCAAAATACAACCGTCTTGACTAGAGATATAGGTCGTAGCAACCATTTTCAGTTCAAAAGCACATCAAAAAACAATAGCATAAATAAATAAA